TCCCGGACCATACACCACGTCTGCGTAGTTGGCATGTGAAAGAACTAAAGCATCGCAGAGTATAATTTTACTTTTTTTATTCAGAAATGATCTGTTAGAATATATTACTTTCAAATTTGCGTAACCTCGCTTTAGAATTTGCGAAATGTGTGTTTTAAAACGAAGACTGTTGTCAAGATATAGGCCCAAGTTTTTTGAAACTCCTTTCAAGGGAAGTTCTGTTCCATCTATTACAATATTTATGAGGCCAGAACAACGATTTCTCGCCGCTGTTCTACCAAAGAGCATGACATTAGATTTAGATACATTAACAGATAAGCAATATTTAGCTGACAAAGATAATAACATATCATATTCAAAATTTGAGTGGAAATAGCTGTTATGAAACTCTAATAATTCAAAAATATTATTACCATTCAAAAGTGAATACCGAATGAAAGATGTTAGCGAGTGTATTGAGAATTCGCGGACAGAACACTCCAAAAACGAGGCCAAACCACTGACACGAGCTTTGTTGTAAAATTCCAAACCATTTGATAAAAGTATGTGTCAACCATGTAGTAATATAGTTGTGTTTATGTTGAGTGATTCGTATTTTTCACCTGGACACCTTTGTTGAACAGTCAATTCAACTTATCCCTACATGAAGATAGATTGTAGTGATTCAAATCAGTGGAACTTGCTTTTTTAATTAAACTCACTATCTCAGAAAGAATATCCACTATAACGAAATGGGAGTTATAAAGGATTATATCTCAGCTTCCAGTACTCTGAAACAATTTTCAATTAGCAATACCGATATTCATTCGAAACTGATGTCCTCAATAAATTTCAAAGTTAATCTCGAGGAGGAAAAATTCGCGAAGCGTCTATTGGCTGCTTGGGGTAGATAAGAGTTCGGTTAGTCATTACTGAAAACATTGTAATGCAATTCCACTCTCTGTGTTAAAGTGGATTTTGCTATCTGCCAAACATTGGCGTGCAACAGAAAGCACAAATGAAGGGTTCTCTGAATTGAATTGACATTGTTTTCTAGACAAAATTTTTCACGTTCTCAGAAACCCATTCTTCCTCGGTAGAAATTTATATGACACACCGGGCTATAAATCTTATATATAACAGTAGTTGGTACCTAAATTAATTAGTTAACACTTAAAGCGATAACACTTACTTTGCCAACCGATTACAATCATAGTTCTTGGAAGGCAGATACATTTCTGAATGTGAATAAAATAATGGGTATCATAAAAAATGGTTTGAAGACCAACTTATCAGTCGATCAACAGGGAACCCGTACCACTCCATCTCGTTTTGAATGCTGAACATCCGTACAAAGAGCTGATATTAATTTCATATTTCCATTTCCACGTTCATCTAATTAAAGCCCATCTCCTGACTTTAGAAGCCAATTTAGATGTTGTTGAACAGTTAATTAGTCCAATTTACAAGTTTAATCTTCGCCAGAATGCGAAATACGTTAACCACTTTGTGGCTTATTACGTACAAAAGATTAAAATAAAGATAAGGAAATATTCTATCCCAAATAATGGTAATCGCTTCTATCTATGTAAATGAACTGGGGTTAGGATTAATATACAAAGCAAAAACTATTCGTTTTGAACCCGAGCTGGGATATATTCCAGAGAGTTATAGGTCTGTAAAAAGGCGATCTATTTTGTATTTAGTATCAAATAGGGTGGAATCTGTCATGAATTTCATGTTGTAGGATGTTGTATAGCAGTAATATTTCTGTTATTTCGGTTTGAGAGTGACTAAACTCATGAATTTATTCCATTTGGTTTGATAAACTAATAATTATATGATTTTCCAAGCAATTAATTCATTGCTTAGCTCAAATATGAATTTTCAATACCGTTACGTCTCAGTTTCACCGAAGTATGATTCTCCGCACTCGCAGGGTATCCGGTAAATGCAATTCTTGGAATCGCAGTCCTCGTTTGGAGGCTGCTATGGATAGTGTTTCTAGATCTGAAGCAGGTCCTGATGTTATACTTGGACCCAATCCTTCTTATCCTTTCCAATAATCTTCTGATGTAGGGAAGTACAAGTACTGGTTGTGGCGGCTTCTATTCCTTTTGGAGATCTTACTGTCTTCTAGCTGAAGCCCGTTCTACCATCACTCTGGAATAACCATTCGGTTGAAGGTTCGGTTGATGATGCCTAGTTTCTTTTTCGAGATCTTCCTTTGTATCACAGAGCCCGAAAGCACCGTCTAGTAGAGTCTTGATGATTCCTCTCTTAGTCGATTGATGGTGGTTGGATTTCTGGTTCAGATACTGTCCTGTGTGAGTGGGATTTCGATACAGAGATGTTTTCCATTTAGTGTCGGTCTTCTTCACCAAAACGTCTAAGGAAGGCAATTCGTTGTGAAAGTGATGGAAGGACTCACCTTGTTGATGTGCTCCAGGAAAGTGTCCAGTTCTGCATTCCCATGGTTCCATATTATGAAGGTGTCGTCTACGTATCTCAACCAGACCAGGGGCTTCTTCAATGGCCAGAGTCTCAAACCATTTCATACATATATATTGGCTATAACCGGTGAAAGTAGCGATCCAATTGGCAGTCCCTCATCTTCCGTGAAGAATTCGTTCTCCAGTTGGAAATAGCAGTTTCGTACACAGCATCCTAGTAATTCCATGACTACTTGTATCGGTATGTTTGTTCTATCTTTCAGGTCCCCATCTTCGGATAGCTTCTTCTGTATGATTTGAAGTGCTTCTTCGACAGGAATGTTGGTGTAGAGGCTTTTCACGTCAAAACTGATCAGTAGATCTTACTCTTTGACTTTGATTTCTCATAGTTGTTCAACGAAATGGTTTGAATTTTTCACAAAAGATGATTTTACTTTGCAGTGGTTCAATTATTGGTAGTGAAAATCTGGACGAGTTCTGAGTGGCTGAATTTCTGGAGCTGATGATCGGTCTTAGCAGAACACCCTCTTTGTGGATTCTGAGTAGTCCATACAAGTGAGGAGGCTTACTGTGGTGCGGTGTTAGCGATGATCTCTCTCTTTCCGAAAAATAGACTTTGTGTTTTTTCAAAGTCTGGTACAACTTCCTTTCGATTGATGCAGTAGGATCTCTTACGATCTTCGTGTATTTTCCNACATATGCCTTGTAATCCAAAGATCGTGTGTTCAAATCCAATGGACCCTATGATTTTTTTTATTATCAGCAGTAACGTTATACAAAAAAAATTGTATGATACATTTGTTAAAAGTTATTTTATTTTGCTCGTGAGTTTGCTCCACTTGCTGACGCTCTTTTTGCAATAATCCCCACTCACAAAATGAAATGCCACTTTCAACACTTGTAGGTAAAACGTGAATAACTATTTTTCCACAAAAACGGCTTCATTAAGAAAACTTGACGATTTATCGAGTAATATACAGGGGGTTTCATATGAAAAAAGTGAAAGTGAAAGCGAAAGTGAATGAACTGAAATGTAAAGCATTTAATATTTGTGGTTTGAAGAATAGAGAAACATCATTATCACTACTATAATTTTTCAGTGAGTTAATAACTTTCCGAAAAGCTCCAGATAAAAAAGACTAAGAATGGATATTTCAATGCTTTTTATATCTCATATCTCCATGAAAAATAAAAGTCGCAATTATATGGTTTTCCCATATAGTTGTGAATTTTTCGCTGATGTTCAAACTCCAGTTAGCCTTTGTGAAATTGGACAAGAATTCAAATGCTCAAAAACACGATTTCATTGAGTTTTGGTAAACGATTCAAAAGTCGCTAGTAGCTTCCAAGTCCCAGTTGAGATTTGAGCACCATGTTGATGATCACATAAGGTTGGCATATGTCGATTCGAAATTTTATGCAAACAGATATATATTCAAAGTAAAAAAAAAACTCCAAAACTCAGTATATTGAATATTTCAGATGAATTGTGGAGAATTTTACAACCTGAATATAGGATGAGACAACTATTTGAAAAATTATGGTAGGACCACAAACCATCTTATACGGACATCATTATACACAGTTGTTACGTTTCAATTTAGCACTAGATCAAACTGCTCTTATGTGACCTTTCAAAACACTACCTTACCTTTTAAGATTTTTATTCAAAGGATATTAACAATGTAATTGAGTTACAAGTAGATTTTATTCATTTAACATCATAGTAATGGGAATCTTCCGTTCCATAGAAAACCATACCTGAAATGTACAAGAATAAATGNACTTTCAACACTTGTAGGTAAAACGTAAATAACTTTTTTTCCACAAAAACGGCTTCATTAAGAAAACTTGACGATTTATCGAGTAATATACAGGGGGTTTCATATGAAAAAAGTGAAAGTGAAAGCGAAAGTGAATGAACTGAAATGTAAAGCATTTAATATTTGTGGTTTGAAGAATAGAGAAACATCATTATCACTACTATAATTTTTCAGTGAGTTAATAACTTTCCGAAAAGCTCCAGATAAAAAAGACTAAGAATGGATATTTCAATGCTTTTTATATCTCATATCTCCATGAAAAATAAAAGTCGCAATTATATGGTTTTCCCATATAGTTGTGAATTTTTCGCTGATGTTCAAACTCCAGTTAGCCTTTGTGAAATTGGACAAGAATTCAAATGCTCAAAAACACGATTTCATTGAGTTCTGGTAAACGATTCAAAAGTCGCTGGTAGCTTCCAAGTCCCAGTTGAGATTTGAGCACCACGTTGATGATCACATAAGGTTGGCATATGTCGATTCGAAAATTTATGCAAACAGATATATATTCAAAGTAAAAAAAAACTCCAAAACTCAGTATATTGAATATTTCAGATGAATTGTGGAGAATTTTACAACCTGAATAAAGGATGAGACAACTCTTTGAAAAATTATGGTAGGACCACAAACCATCTTATACGGACATCATTATACACAATCAATCTATACTTACAATTTATCTATATGCACATCCATATCAACATAAAGTAGCAGCAGTAAATGACATGATTCACAGACTATTGAATTGCCAGAAGGCAATTCCTGAAGAGAACTGATTTTAAAGAAACAAATTGCTGCCAACATTGACTACGAGGTAGATATTAATGACTCAATTCTTCAAAATTCTTGCGAAAACAAGATCCGAACCAGGTCTATCCTGTTTCAAAGACTGATAGTGAACATCGTGTGACTCAAACTTGGTGAATTTACTAATATTATCGCTCGTTTTTTAAAAATAAACGAATTGGACGTAGTAAAAAGAATAATAATTTTAGTGAATTCATTAAAAACAGTGTTGAATAGATCTGGAGTATATGAGTTGACTTGTGTTCCTTGTCCTGAATTTTATATTGGTCAAACCGGTAGGACTTTCCCCAGAAGAATGAAAGACAATATAAGTAGTTTTTAGATGAGATGACTAATTCAACTTCTGCAAAACAATTTTTTAACGGAGCAGCACAAGTTCAATTACTATTATGACGTATTACATTCGAAAGAGAAAGGTCCATAACTCAACCTATTTGAATGCCTGAAAATCAATAGATTTGCTGATTCAGGATTATTGCTAAATGATCAAATGAATTTAAATTATGCACCTTCATTGGATTTAGTTTGCAATGAGGACATTGGTGTCCAGGATAGATCTCAAAAGTATTGTGACGCCTGAATATGCTATTGTATAGCAAAACACGTGTCACGGTTTTTTTGAATACGTTAAACTTTTTGAAATCTATTCCGGAACGATAATAAAACGTCCCCGGAGTGAATGTTTCAGATATAATATTTATAACCTCAATCATTAACTCATCATTATTGTTAAACACCAACATTCAACTTTTTTTATCTGATTTTCGATCTTCGGCGCTTTCTCAGTGATATCTTTCGAGTAATGATACATTATTGTGTTTATTGAGCAAATATTCACTTATTCATATCTTGGATGTTTCTGATTACTCATTATGGATTGCTTTCTGTGAACCAATTCCTCCTACAGTGTACAATACATGATGAGTTCCTCTTCATACAACCGTATTTTGTTCAAGTGTGGATGAAAGACGGATGTTTATCAACCGAGAGGTTATTCCATCTGTACAATAATTCCATCTGTTTGTTTCCCAATGGACATTTCAATATTCAAACATGAATTGATTTTGTCGACATATATTCAAAATTAATTTACCGAAACACCATTTCATTAATTCTTCAAGGATATCAAGTGCAGAGCAATAACCTCGGTCAAGATACGTTTTGAATGAAACAGTCCTGTGTTACTGATCGTTGAAGGCATCTGTGTTGTGAACGAAAAAAATAGTGTGAGTGAAATTCATAGCTTTGTATCTTTTTAGTGGTTAATTTTTTATACTGGCGAAATTTGTGAAGTAATAATCATTCAAAAGAATCCACAGAATTGACTGTCATTTCTATCGAGAACATCAGCACCTTTTTGAATATTTTTGAATGATGTTTTACTCGTTCTACAGAAACTGAACAGCTTTATATCATTGAAACAAATAATCTTCATGAGAAAACAGTTCGTGGAAAACACTCAATTCTTATACTTCTATGTATGATCTTCAAGTTGATATATATTTGGAAGTTTCATGGTCTTCTATATCTCTCCCACAATTTTATATTATTACTCTTTTATATATTAGTAGATGATATAGAACTCTATACGTTTTATTTACCTATTTGAAATTAAACATACGATGTCTGTTGAAAAAATAAGGTCAATGTTTGAATTTCGCGGACTACGTACATTAGATTAGCAATTGTTTTTGTTGGTACACACGTCTCGGGCATATGTTAACAGTTTGAGCTGTTAAGGATGTTTAGTTTGTTGGTGAGAGGCATGAAAATTAAATGTGGTGAGAGGTTCAAAATTTTTTTTTCCGTGTTTGCCGACTTTCTGTTATGGAGAAAATTGCTCAAAAATCCTTGGAATGCTGACAGTGACATACTTTTCTCAAGAAGACCAGGAAATGTGAATGACGATGCTCGCCCTGGATGCCCCAGCACATCAACATCCCCGAGGAAATGGGGAATCGTCAAATCACTATTAGAGGAGTTGCTGAGGTATATTGGTTCGCTTATGCTATACAATTCTTTTGGAATTCTGGGCATGAAGCGTGTGGCAGCGGAGTTAGTTCCAAAATTGCTGCCGAGGAATTGTTGAATGACGTCAACAGTGATCCAAATTGGTCAGAAAGATCAAAACGGTTGACGGATCATGGATATGGTTATGCCATCGAAACCAAAGTCAAATCGTCCAATTGAAGAGCTCAGGAAAATCAAGACCAAAAAAAGCAGGCCAACTTTGATCAAATTTCAAGGTTTTTCTCACTGATTTTTTCGATGGTCATGGCGTTATGCATCAGGAGTTCTTCCAACATGGTCGTACGGTCAATAAGGAGTATTGTCTTAAAGTTATGTGCCGCTTGTGAAAAGCATTACGGAGAAATTGTCCGGTATTATGAAAAAACAATTTATGACTTTTGAATCACAATAATACACCTGCTCACTCAACATTGCTTGTTCATATTTTTTTGACCCAAAACAACACCGTAACCATGCCTCAGCCGCCGTATTCACCAAACTTGGCCCCCTACGTTTTTTTTCTGTTCCCAAGCTCAAAGAGACACATTGAAGGATGGCGTTCTGTGAGGATTCAGGAGATAAAATCCGGATCGCTGAGAGAGCTCAAGCACATACCAAAAAGTACTTATCAGAACTGCATATCGAAGATTGAAAAAAACGCTGGCACAAATGTATCATATCTGATGAAGACTACTTTGAAGTGCCTGTCATCGTACTTAAAAATTGCGCGGATGAACTCGCACCAGTATTTTGCAGACTTTTCAACCTATTTTACATGAAACGGTTCAGTCCTTTCCCAAAAAGGGCAAGAAAAACGCTTTGCTATCAGTGTTATCAAAAATCATGGATGAAGCCGCAAACCTCCATATCCTCAAATATTTGGAAGGCTTCAACATCTTGAGCGATCATCAATATGGCTTTCGGAAACAAAGATCAAGCGACGACCTTCTATCGTATGCTACCTATTTTTGGAATAACGCAATCGAGAAACATGAATTGTCAAGACCTGATATTTCTGAGGCCTTTGACCGTGGGTAGCATGAGGGTTTGCTGGCCAAACTTCGATGCTACGGCTTGTCGGATCATTTTTGTGTATGGTTCTTCAGCTTTCTGAAAAAAAGTGTCCTGCAAGTGGCTGTCGATGAATATCTTTCGGATACTTTCATCATCAACGCTGGTGTTCCTCAGTTCCCATATTTTCTCCAACCCTATTTTAATTGTATATCAACGACTTACTGGAAAAAGCCCATGAATCCATCATATTGCTTTGATGACGACAGCACAGTTATCTTGTCATCATATTTGGATCCCAGGACATCGGCTGCGAATGTACATCTTCACCGGTAGCAGGAGGTTGAATATCTCAATGAGGATCTAGAAGTGATTTCGAATTGGAGTGGAAGTCACCAGGTTCAATTCCAATGCCACAAACACCCAGGTATCGGTTTTCTTTAAAAAGATGAGTGTTTGCGAACCGGATATGAAAATGTCAGGTCAGACAATTCCGCTTTCTGCTTCATTAAGTGTGTTGGGGGTTGAAATGGACACAATATGTCAAGATACAATCATGTCACTGAAATTGCAAGGGCTGCTTCTCAAAAGCTTGTTACACTGTTCCCAGCCAATGTGAGCCAGGCACCGCTCTAAGAGCATCTTAACTCTTNCTGCTTCTCAAAAGCTTGTTACACTGTTCCCAGCCAATGTGAGCCAGGCACCGCTCTAAGAGCATCTAACTCTTTCAGGGGCAGTGGTATAAAATTTAGCCACAAAAATGTGGCTGTTTTTGGGCAGTGGTACAATAAATAGACTACCTTTCCAAATATTCATTTCTTGAAGGGCAGCGGTTGGATTTTTGTACCACTGTTGTTTCACCGTACTTTCATGTGTCTACTCATACATAGATGGCGCCGGACGATGTAGAAAGTGATACAAATGTGAAGAATCCGGTAGTTCGTGTTCAAACGGATCTGTTATTTGAAAACACGATGTATTGTGATTTTGTTGAGTTTTCTCAAGCACAAATAAGAAAGAATTGTCATTCTGAGGTAAGATATATTTACTTTGGGGCATGGTTTTTTAATGTTTAATATTGTTGAAATCTATTTTTACTCAATCAGTAGTTTGATAGGCAAAATTTGATATGTCCAAAATATGTACCACCACCCCGGAAATGCGTTTTTCATTCTGTAATAATTTTTTTCAGAATAAAATGGATGATCTACCTTTCAACTTGGTAGGCATGAGTAGAGGTGAGCTGATGAATGACTTATATCTGAATTATGATGAACCCTCCACACAACAGTTTTCAGAAGATATCCTGTCTGATAATGACTCATTTCACGATATCGAAACGCCTGAAGACGCCGAACTTCTTGATGACATTGAACCACCTATCGGGCTTGATGAACAGGAAGAATCCTATCCAGAAGATAACCTGCCTCTTAGTGAGGTGAGAAAACAGCTCCTGTTGAATGCGCGAATGAAGACGATCTACAATCCGCCCACATGGAGAAAAATCAACGATTTTTTTGGCAATGCTGTTGATTTCTGTGCTGCTTCTGGTGTTTCTGATCTCATAAAGTACAGAAATGAAAACGATCCATGCACTTTATTCGAAAATTTATTCACTGATATTTTTTTCGAATCCTTGGTGTTTCAAACTAATTTATACTGTCAGAAATCTGGAAAGCCCTATCGTCCCACGAACAAGAATGAACTGAAAACTTTCATCGGTATAAATTAGCTAATAGGTATCAAAAGTGGCTACAGAGACTACTGGTCAAGCCGAAAAGAACTCAATGACCCTTATATTAGCAGTCTATGCCCGTGAAACGATTTAGTTGTCTTTTAACAAATTTGCACATCGCTGAAAATAGCCTACAGCCAAAACGCGGTGATCGAAATTTTAATAAATTATATAAAGTTAGACCCCTTCTGAATCATTTATCGCAAAAATCCAAGGACTGTTTTTTTTTTGTCAGAGTACATTCCAATTGATGAGTCCATGATCAGATTGAAAGTCAGATCAACACTCAAGCAATATATGCCCAAAAAGCCTATCAATAGGGGTTACAAAGTGTGGATGTTGGCTGATCAGAGTGGTTATTGCTATGAGTTTGATATTTATTCAGGCAAATCAGGAGGCTAAGTTGAAAAAGATTTAGGTAGTAGGGTTATTCTTCCTCTTGTACAAGGCCTTGAAAACAAAGGACATCGGCTATATTTTGATAATTATTTCAATAGTGTTCCATTATTAGAGTGTCTTCAGGCCAAAGGTATATATGCATGTGGAACAATTCATTCATCACGAAAGTATCTGCTTTCTTTTTTGCCTGATAACAGAATGAAGAGGAGCGAATTTGATCATAACGTTAGCAACACGAAACTTCTAGCAATGAAGTGGAAGGACAAGAGATGTGTACATTTGTTTTCGAATCATCTTAAACCAGATCAGGTTAAATCTGTAAAAAGAAAAAATAAAGACGGCACTTCACAAGATATCGCACGTCCGTTGCTTCTCGTTGATTACAACAAGCATATGAATTCCGTCGACAAGTTTGATCAAAATGAAGCCACTTATGAAGTGAATCGAAAAAGCCACAAATGGTGGCATAGATTTTTTTTTATTTCGTTGATGCATCAATAGTTAACGCTTATGTGATTTATAAGCAACTAATGTTAGAGAATCCCGATTTAGAAGCTCTAACCATGAAAGATCTCAGGCTCGAAATAGCACGTGATCTGATCACGGAGCCACCAAGAGCAACAACGTCACGTATCCCAGTAACTGTGAAGCGACACAAAAAATTTGTTCCCAAAGATGGAGACTAGCAGATTCATTCACAACATCAACCAATTTATGGTACAAGAAAACGGTGTGGCCTTTGTAGCACGAAATTGACACAAGTACTAACTAACTAAATGTGCTCAAGATGCCAAGTTCAACTGTATATCCGACAGGCGTCAGTGCAGGAATCTTCACAGAGAATTTCCTGCATATGCAATTGGCAATACAACTGAAAGAGACGACCTTCAATTATGGAACGAAAATTATGGAAAATGAACCTTATTTTTTAACAGATTTCGTATTTGATGTATAACCTTTATTCAAGGATTCAAACAGTTGGTTCGATATGTTTAATTCGTTTTTTTTCTGAAAAATTTTTACTCTTTCTACATTGATGGAGAGTTCGACAGCTAAAATATCTTCTTCTAAGAAATGAATATCTATTGAAACTACTTCATTTTCAATAATCCCTTATGCTCATTGTCTTATCTGATGAAGTGAATGTCTGGTAATGAGAAAAGTTCAATGAATAATTTCTCTTGATAAAATTTCAGAAATTTCCAAATCAAGATTAGAAAATGATACAACAGTGGAAAAAAAAAGAAATTGAAACCATCTTACAAGTAATACATTGATCTACTTTGATTAAACATTTTTCGTCTGATATGCCGAGTGAATTTTGGTTTTAGTAGTTGACTTGTTTTCTGAATGAAATTCTGAAGAAAGATATGATGCGAAAACAATCATATCATATTCATTTAAAAAAATCCAAAGTATTATCACTTTCCAACAACGGGTGATGATTACATTGAAATGATTGAAATAGTTAAAAAAGTGTGTAGAAAGACTTTTTCTGTAGTAATAAAGTGGTCAAATCGGGTAACAGATACCTCAAAATAATGAAAAATATATTTCTTTTTCGCAGAGTGACACATAAATTCGTTATCACTTGAAGTGATACAGTAACAGGGATCAAACCTTGTCGAAAGACTGAATCGAGCAGAGATACATAAGTACCAGATTAAAAATATTTCGAAATATAACCTCGAAATATTCATCTCTCACAACCATCAACACCGTAGATTCTGATAAGGTAGTTGGACGAGATGAATAATTCGAGATTTCATTTCCAAATATTCATTTTACAGTATGAAATAATACAATAAATGAAAGTGAATAGATTTGACCTTTGTTCCACTTGATTTCTTCGAAGGTTATTTTGAACACCTTTTACCTTATACGCCTTCGCCTTTACATTATAGATAGTTTCATTGCATTATTCTCCCTTTCTAAACAATTATCGCAGCTCCAAATAGAAAACCGTAAGTCTTGTTTTATTTTTCGAAAAATATGTGTACATAAGAAAGATGTTCGACCTTTCAACTCTGAAAGAAATATATTTTTTCTGAGATAAGTTTGAAAAAACTCATCTTTCATCGTCATCAGCAAAACTAGGAATTCTGTTTATTTTCTATACATCATTCGACATTTCTCACCAAATCAACAATGTAAATTATTCAATCAATACATGTAATGAAAGTAAAATTTTTGTCTGTACTTCTGGATGGTTATGTGCAATAATTTTGAAAATTGTTTAACAGATTTGGGTGTAGTTTTCACTAAAGTATTGTAGTGAAAAACATTCAAAACTCATTGTTCGATATATTTCGATTATTCGTTTCAGAAAACGTAACGATGAACTGTTCAGTCCATTTGGTTGAAACTGCATTCAGTATCTACAGTTTGTGAAGCAAATTTCTTATAAATCAAAAATAGGTAATCACATGAAAACTGTTTGTTAGAAAATCTAGGAAAACCCAAAAACTTCAGTTAACGCGAATGAAGTCTCGCTTATGTTCTATCACTGAAAATTTCTCAATTTTGGTTCAGCTATCATATTTTTTTTGATAATACCTGGGTTGTCATCAATTTTGCTTTCACAGACAGAAATCTGTGAAATATAATTTCTGTATGGTAATAAATACATGAAAAGTAACTCTTGATGTTCTACTGATCATGAAAATTCATTTCGTGTGTTCAAAACATATTCAAACCTGATTTACCAAAGTTTCAAAATGATTTTCAATAATTATTCAGATATTTACAGCCAGCTTATTAGAATTTCATATTTTCGAAACTAAATGCTTATTATTTCACGAAATCATTAAATCAATAACTTGAAACTTCCAATTGAATACAAAGGGTAAATTGAATTTTCAAAATCTGAATTCAAGATTGAATATTAGCGCCATTCGAATCATTACACTTTTGCCAACAAAACAACTTGTTATGTACTGTTTGGAGCCTTTCGTGTAGTATTGATTGTTACTGGAGTTTTATCCTAACACAAAACCGTTATTTCACCACCTCGCTTCGATCACCAAACGATCACTTTCAAGAAGAAGAATGGAGTTTAATCTTCCACTTGAAGATGATCACTTGGTGATAAAATAACGGTTTGGTGTTGTGATGAAACTCCAATAATATTCATCGAAACACAAGTCGAATAATTTCGTCAGTTTGTATAATCGGTATCCGATGAATTCGACGAAGGCCGTTTTCGCCTCGTCACTGGATTTACCAGTGGTAAAGGTATCGAAGAGCTTGAAAGTATGGTAGTCGATAGGCGAGAGGTCTGGATAATATGGTGTGTGAGGTAGAACTTTGACGTAGGGACAAAAGTTGTCATGGAACAGGATCGGACTCCTTCTGTTGACCAGTACCGGCTGCTGCTGAAACAATTTTTGGTACACACCGTTGCTCTTCTCACAGCTGCGATGGTTTTTCTCGGTTCCAGAATGTTATAGCGAATCACACCAATCGCTGACCACTGTGGATTTTTTCGGTAAGTTTTCGTTACTAGGAATTACCTCATAGGTGGTTCATAGGTGTCCAACCGCTGTCTCGAACATCTCTTTTTGTCGTAAAAGATCCACTTTTCATCACACGTGACTATCCAATGAAAAAAATGGTTTCGTTTGCGCAAAAGCGAAGAAGAACAGACTTTGAAAAGAGACAATTCCTGTCGATCGTTCAAATCGTGGGGCGCCCACTTTTTGGGTTTTGTGACCTTTCCAATATGTTTTAATCCATCAAAAACCGCATGTGAGCTGACACCTTGTTCTTCCGCCATCCCACGCACCGTTTGTGATGGGTCAGTCTCCACCAGAGTACTCAAATCCTCGTCCTGGATTATTGTTGGTCAACCACTTTGGGGCTCATCTTCAAGGCTAAAATCTCCGGAACAAAATTTTGCAAACCAATGTCGAATATTGCGTTCATCAACATCACTATTGCCAAATGTCTGGTTAGTTTTTTGGTCTGTTTCGGCAGCGATTTAGTTCAGTTTGAATTCGTAGAGACAATTGGCCAAAAATCGCATTACGACAACACATAGTAGGAAGCTGAAAAGCAGTAAAAATCTATGTTCAGAGTACAAAATTCTCTATCGATCAGTGTATACCAGTAGAATGAATATTTTTCGAAATATGGAGCTACAACAACATAATATGACATTTAAACGGGCACAACTTTTGGAACAACCTAATATCAGTTTTGAAATGATTTCAATGAATCATAAAAAATAAATAGAAATATAGTTAACATCTGATGTAAGTGATGATCACTGAATATAACCTTCAAACCCACTGAAAATATCACACATTTGCTTCTTTTCAAAAGATATGAGAGTGAGATGAAATTTCAATGATTTTTTCAAATAATTCACTCGACTTCGACAATAATATATTTCTCACAAATACATCATATATTCAGTTTTCTCTCTACTTTTCGTTCTTCTCTCAACATTCAATTTTCTTTTCTTCCCTTTCCGAAAACATTTTGGTGGATGATTTCTAAAACACAAATCAGAATTTGTGATGAGTGATTTCTAGTACATGAATAGTCATTCTGTTACCTGAATATAATATGATATATTCATGAAAGGAAAAAATGATAATCAGGTTTGAACTTGGTACTGCGATTTGTGCTGTGTGTGTATATGGGTGTTTTCGGTCAGCAATTTGATTATCTGAAGTCCGAGTTGAACCGAATCTGGTGTTTTCAGTTGTTCGACTGTTCGGCTTCGACTTTGAAGCCATTTTCAAGAAATTATGACTACACTGAGGTCTCATTCAGCCTACTTCTGAGATAGTGACACGCTTTAAGGGTTTTGTAACTCAATATGCCTACTCCCAAGCCGTCCCCCATGTCCCCTCCGGGGTTTAGTGCCCTGAGTTGAAAACTTTTCCACACGATTACTGTGCGCAGAACATCTCATCTCGTCTCACCTACTCCCAAACGTCTACACGTTCGACTTTTGTATCGTACAGAACTGTGATCTACTCTTTGAAAATAGTTTTATCTTCACACTGTTGCCATATTTATATGCAGATGTGGCAACAATGTACTGTCCAAATTTCAATTATTTTGTGTTTTTTTTTAAACACGATAACTTGAAATTCAATATCGCATAAAAATATACCAAACCCAATCTCTGGCATTGTTCACATGAGATATGGTGGTTAGAATTTCCATCTCCGTTCGTTTCTTTCATAAATAATATAACTCAATTATAATTTTCATCATTTTTTTCAGTAAAATGGTAGACGTGGACCACTGGCTAACATCGAACAGAGAAGAAGTATTAAAAGTTTCTTTGGAAAGTTTGGGAAGAACAGATGAAGAACTGAAGGAATATGTTAGTATATTAACAGAATGGTTGGAAACACAACCACATCTTCCAGAGAAACCAAGTGAGTCTATTTTTAATCTGAATGTCGGTTGTTGATGATAACATCAATGTTTGTCATAATTTTTTCAACAATGTCGTACGTAGAAAAATGTAACAAAATCTATGCAAATTTCATTAAATTTATCACTTTTTCAAACACGGTCTTATCCAATCAACAGTAATACAATAACTGAACGGTACTTAAAAAGATGAGTCTGAAGACGGTTATAGAAATTATTCGAAACAATTGCGCTCCTCATATTTTTTTCTCTTCCATTTCATGATACCTAATTCTGATCATATTTCCTCTTGAAAGAATGAATTCTAATGGGTCAACAAAGTAAAATTATTTGCGATAAGTAATCGATTATACAGAGCATTTTGATTAAAAATATCAAATTTTCATTGTTTCAATCGAAACTAATATCACAAGTTATCTAAATGTTGTCGACAGCAATACCATTCCATACGATTTCAATGAAATCGCTACTATTCAAAATATTGTTTTGATGAGAAATAAAAATGTCTTATCATTCGAGATATTGAGATTTCTGAATATTATTTATGATTTGCTAGTATTCAAGGTGGAGTTTGAACTGAAAAATTGTTCAATTTTCGCGAGGTTATGTGAATCAGTAAACTGTAGTGATTCTTGTTTCATTTAGTGAATTTCATTACTGCTGATGTCGACAAATACTCCCACAATTGCTGATGGAAACTTCAACGCCAAGCACAATCTGTGGAGCAGACTCACCAATGCGAACCGCTGAGCGCTCCATGCGAATGCTGACAGGCATGAGTATCGAGTGATGGGTCCAGATGAGCCCACGTTCTACCGTGGGGATTTAAGGACTGACGTGCTTGATATCGCACTGCTCAGGAACGTCTCCATGTCCTGCGAAGTGTACACTCTGTCGGAACTTGACTCAGATCATAATCCAGTCATCCTGATGCTGGGTGATGATCCCCCTCCCCAGGAGTATCGCATGAGATCATCTACGGATTGGGAAGCCTTCAAGGCCCACCTAGTGGGGACATGTACAGACCGTGAGGCGCTTCAAACTCACAACGGTCACGATGCGGCAGTTGCAGACTTTGAATTGTCTGTGAACAACACTTTCCGCGCAGCCACAACCAGGACAGAGTGTCCTCTATGGAGCTACAATGAGTTTCCTCCTAGGATAAAGATCCTTATCCGGGAGAGAAATCGACTCAAACGAGTTCATCAGCGGACTCTCTACCCTGGAGACAAGGCTGCGGCTAGCAGGATGGCCATCCAGGTTAAACAGGCCATCACTGACTATAGAAACGAGAGGTGGAGCGAGTGTTTGGAATCGCTCGAACCTGGAAATGGCGAGCTCTTGCGAGTCATCCGCAGGCTCGAGAAAAGAAAAACCATTCCCTTCCTTCTTCACGGACAGCGCGGCATCTGATACTCCCCCGCCAAGAAGGCGTTGGCCTTTGCAGACACAATGGAGAGTCGGTTTCGACTTAACGTCGATCCGGATGATGATATTTACCGTAATATCCGGCTGGAACACCGGGTTCGCCACATCCTTAGGGAAAATGATGACGACGTGATCCGTCCAGCTTCAGAGGAAGATCTGAAGGAGTACATTAGGGCCTCCAAACCCAAGAAGGCACCGGGCATTGATTCAATCCTCAAAAAGTTGTAGAAGCAGCTCCCGGAGAACTTCATCACATGCCTGCTGGACATTATCAACAGCTCAATCTCTCTCATATACTTGCCTCAAAGATGAAAGCATGCCGTAGTTGTCATGATTCCGAATAAGGGCCAGAACCTGCTGTTTCCCCAGAATCATTGTCCGATAAGTCTGCTTTGCTCAACGGCTAAGTTGGCTGAACGTGTTGTGCTGCAAAGGCTAACAGAAGTTGAAGACCGAAATGTTCTGCCTGATGAACAACTCGGCTTCAGGAGGGCACACTTCACCGAGCTGCAGGCCCTGAGACTGGTCGAAAATTCCATCTCAGAGCTGAACAACAGAAAGACAGTCCATCTCGTCCTCCTGGATATTTCGAAAGCCTTCGACCGAGTCTGGCACGGAGGCCTGCTACACAAAATGCTTGATTTCGATTTGCTTCGGGGTGTGGTCCGGTGGATTAGGTCCTTTCTGAAAGGCAGAACATTTCAGACACAAGGGTCATGAATTCAGGCAGGAATATCGAATGGCAAATGCGAGTCAAGTACCTAGGTCTTTGGGTAGACCGCCGACTCACCTGGGCAAATCACATTGATTATATCAAGAGCAAAGTGCAGATGAGGATAGCTAAACTCTATCCTCTGGTCTGGTCAATATAAATTCAAAACTCAATCTTAAAAATAAGATTTTACTATACAACACGATGTTCAAACCTGTCATCATGTATGCTTCAGGTGCTTGGAGACAAACTGCCCCGTCATACCCTTCCATTTTGGAAAGGTTGCAAAATAAACTTCTCAGGATGCTGGTGAATTCTCCATGGTTCGTGCGGAATGAAGCCATCCGCAGAGATTTGAAGCTGTTAACTATACGGCAGTCCATTCAGTCGAGGAATCAGAGAGTTTTCGAGTCGGCGGAAACTCATAATAACCCATTAGTTAGGGAAGCTGTAGATTACACTATAGACGACCCCACTCGATTCAGAAGGCCCCGTCGCTCGGTTGAAGGCCCCACGACGTCTGTTAAAATGAACAGTTTTTTCATCAAATACCCCAATCAGGAAGGGGTACACAAGGCCAGAACGGCATAGAGGTTATTGACCCAGATGTGAATGAAGATGACCCAGACAGTGAATTTCATTTGATTGTCATTTCAGTTGTCACAATTGAGTAAGGGTATAGTTATGCGTCATTGTCATCATCACAATCTTCATTACAGTCACTGTCACTTGATGACATGTTAATTTCATGGTTGTCAGTTTTATCGCTGGTATATCGCTGCAAAACTCTATTTTAGTGGATGGCCTTTAATTCTATCATCATTTTGTCGCTGCGAAGAAAAAAGTTGACTTGATATCGACTGATACTTTATAAACAGGTTGTTTCAAAAGTTTTTTCGTTTTTATGAGTCAAATGTAAACTATAATATCTTAGTAAATAATTATTCAATTCAATCATTCGAATTAGTGTCCTGTCGCCAACGTAACACAGTTCAACTTAACATAAAAATGGGTTCTCGGGATTTGATGAAGTAGACGAAGGCTGTTTTGCTTGGTCCTGATTGTTGAAGGTTCTACCAATAAAAAAGTTATCGAAGTGCGGCTGCCGCTGACACAATTTATAGGTACATTCCGTCGATGTTCTCATAATAGGGCTCTGATGTGATTGTTTAGCCTGGTGAAAAAAAGTTATAAAGGATCACACCAGCCGCTGATAACCATACAGTAACCATGGTCTTTTAATCGTGAGTTTTTTTTTCTGGGTGGTTCATCGTTACACAACCAGTGTCCTGAACGTTTCACATGATGATCCAATCCAAAAAGGATCGTTTTGGTTGCACAAAAACAAACGAAAACAGACTCCGAAACGAAACAATTTCTGTCGATCCTTTGAATACCGGAGGCATCGACTTTTCGACCTGTTTGACCTTTTCAATACGTTTCAAACCACCAAAAACCGTATGGGAGCTCATGCCTAGTTTTTTGCCATCATACGCACAGTGCGTTCATTAACACTATCATTGCCAAATGCTTAATTTTTGGGCTGTTTCGGTGGCGCTTTAGTTCTGTTTGGATTCGTAGACAAAAATCTATCAAAAATCGTTTAACGATATAGGCTGTTCACGTTAAGAACAGCCTTCTCAACGTGAACAACCTATATCGTATAGTTATCAGCTGAAAAAAAAAACAAAAATTGAAATTTGGAGTACAACATTCTCTATCGATAAGTATATACCCACGACACAGCAGAATAAATATTTATTGAGATATTGAGCTACATAAACACATGACATCATAACGGACAAATCTTTTGAAACAACCTGATAGTTAAATTACTTTAGAAACTCACTGTGTAGGTGGAAGAGAGTACGGAGAGTTGAATGTATTATTGAAAATAATTCCTGCTCTTAGATATGTTCCGAGCCAACAAACTCTATTTCTTTTTCTGATTCCCAGTGATGAATAGAAGAAGAAATTTTTGTTCTATCTACCATCACTGAGTGACAAATGAATACTTCAGTTTGAGACACAAGTATTCCATCAGAATTTTGATTTCTTTCAGTGAAAACTGATAATATCAAAATGAAATCAAAACTTTTGCGCGTATACATTCTGTATAATTTTCAATTAAATGTTTATCGATCACGAAATTTTGTTTAATATTTGTGATAACAATGGGCTTGTGAAAAATATACAAAAATTTTCAATGAGAAGCATTTGAAATCTTGAAATAATTCAAATGTAGTAACAGGGCACCATAAAAAAATTGATAGTCGTCACCATAATTGGAAAATTAGTCAATCCAATAATTAACTGATGTTAATAACAAATGAAAAAAAAACATTTGTGCACTACTCACTTTCAGCTGATTTTGAAATACAGGGTTAATGAAATTTATTCTTCATGTGAGTGCATTATTTTTCGTGAGAATGAAATTGAAATCAACAACTGATTCAAAAATATTATATGCGATGGAAATTGCGTGAATTTCAATCTACCAAGAGAGTAAATTTTACATTTACGGACCCTTGAGAAATACCAAACATACGCTGTCCTAATGCACACATAAATGTCCCTCCAATTGTGAAATATAATTACTTTGATAGTGTGTCGTAGTGTGATTTTGCTTTCTTTGCAGGATGCTGCCCACTTTCTGAATTATAACTACTGTCAGATATATTTTATTTTCAATTATTTCAAAAAATCATTTATTCAGTAAAACACATGCTGTATGCTGTAGTAAACACAACTGTTTACTGTTTAGGTATACAAGCTCAGTGTGGCAAGATAAATACCGTAACTCCGAACCAGTGCGAAAGGCAGGTTATCTGTACTTGTTCATCTTTTACTGCCTGAACCACTGTGCATTTTGTTTTTGACGAGTGCATTGGCTTGGGATGTGGGGGTTGAGCAAGCTGGCCATCGGATGCCTGCTTCCACGTAGCCCCGCTGTATACGAGAATGACAGAATCACTTGTGGTTCTGTTATTCCCTATCTGAATGATATCCCAACGATGGCTTGATCCTGAGGTGTGTGTATCCGTTCCAAGAGGATGAATGACACTGAACCTATCAGCTGTCTTTACGGAACATTCGAGATACCGGGCGCCCTTTAGTCGTAGTATCGCCTTGTCACAATAATCCGGGGCTCTGACATGATTGACATTCTTTCCCTAGCTACTCGTGGGACTTTATGGACAAAGTAAACTTAAAAATTCTTTCTGACGCTGAGTCTACAAAACACTTATAATTCATGAAATGTGTTTTTTATTTTGATTTTCTTTTGAACAACCTATCAAGGAGGTTACGTATGGCGCCATCTGCACGCGAATAGCTCAAGCGAAGTTGATTCTTACTGTTATTTTCTATCCATTCACTTTTATATTTTTATGCTTTATTGTTTTTATATTCTCAACTTTCATTTATGTCTGGCATAAGAATATTCATTATTATTATCATTATTATTCATTTCAATATGTAGCATATATATTATCACTTTCTGACTATTTTTTCACCCCAAAATGCTGAAATTACCAAATGTTCAAATATTACTTTCAATTTGTATAACTCATATTCTTTAAAATAATAACACTTCGACAATAATATTTCATCTTAGACATTTCTTTTAAGTTGTGTATCTTATATTTCTTAGAATGGAAACACTTTGTCAATGAGATTTCATTTTCAACAAAAAAGTACATTTTGATTTGAACTGATTTGATTGCAATAATTGAGAGTTACGTACAGCGCCATCTGTTTGCAAATACATCAAGTAATAATTGATAGTTACGTACAGCGTACATCTGCCCGCGAATAGATCAAGAAATGTCAATTAGGTTACGAACAGCGCCATCTGCCTGCGAATAGATCAAACAATAATGCCGATAATTCTGTCACTACAGATCCCGATCTTGAGAGTTACACACAAACATGCATACAAACAATCATACATACATACATACAGGTGAACCTAATATAAAGCGTGTAAAAAACCCTGCACGGTTGAATCCAAGGCATCGTCAGTTGTAGCTGACGTGCAAACACCCTCTTATGGGAAGGTTGTCGCGGGTATCAAGGTGAGAATCTTGCACCTTGACTATCTGACTACCTCATTAACGATTAAACAGCAGAGCATATACTTTGTGCCTGCTCCGCTGGGGACCGAATCAGTTTAAAATTCGGCAGAACCGTACTCTCACCATCTAACCTGAAAGACCCCACTCACCTTGCAAACTAATCAGCTTCTTCAAAAAGCTGGGTTTATTTAGTCAAGTGTGAATAGGTGTGGGCCACAATAAACCCTTGCGGGTTGCGGTAGTGGGTCAAATAGATCCACTCACTTTGGACATAACCTAACCTAAACAAGAAGAGAAAAAGAGAATTGCACAGTCGCTTGCTCATGGGAACCCGTCGCCACGCCATCAATCGGTTTTACGTGCGACTATAGATATTCCACATCAAAAAGTCACAAACACTTTGAAGGATTTCTACTTAACTGATGAAATGATTGAATAATTGGAGGAAAGGGCACCAAAACAAATTTTTACAGTGTAAAGGGGCTTCTTCCCATCAGCGATGAAATTGACATGTAGGTGAAATAATTCTTGTATCATACATGATCATCATATATCATATATCTATTCATGCACCATTAACACAATTTCAGTCACTGTCACTGTTCTTATCAAAATGAAACTATGGAATAAATATTTGAATGTGATCCAGAATAAACATTGAAACTTTGCATGAATATGCTATTTTGCTGTTTGATTTGATATTATGATTATGACTATAACTCGACGGGGAAAATTTTATTGTAATCGAAAAGAATATGCGACTTATTGGTGATTAATCCAGCCACATCAAATAGATCGGGTGATGGATCTCCGTTCTCATTTCAAGTCATAATAAATGCCAACAATGAAATCTGTTCATATATTATAACATTGTGTCTTTTATTACTGCACTTCCAAACAATAATTTTTTGTTATTCAAGTAATAAAATTGATTTCATTTGGTATTTGATATTTTGTTTTTGAATTTATGTATCCAGATGAAATGATCTTTATGAATACCACTTGACATCAAAATTTTCTCAGATGAATAAAATTTTTTTTATTCAAAATCCTGCAACTGGAAATACCTATATATCATGATTTGTGTTCCATGTTCCATTGTAGGTGAAAACGTGATAATCAACATTGTATTGATGAACAAGTTCAGTATTGAGAAATGTAAACAGCGTCTTGATATGTATTATACAATAAGAAATTTACTCCCCGAAATATATGGAAAAATGGATTCTAAAATGACGATGAAAATTGCAGATGATATGTAAGTACTTCGTTGGTAATATTAGAAGTTCAGAATATTCTTTGACGAAGAACTGAACTAAAGTTTTTGATATAATATGCGAAAATTCAAAATGAGGCGTGATTGAGTACGATCACTTGTAGTTCTGATGTGGAAAGTAACTAACTATTTTCGAAAAATGTTTGAGATTATCTTTGAGTAGCTGGTTTATCATGATGGGATGGGATGGGATGGGATGGGATGGGATGGGATGGGATGGAGGGACGGGACGGGACGGGACGGGACGGGATGGGATGGGATGTGATGGGATGGGATGGATCTGCAACAAAATAATATATTCAATACCATTTCAGATTATTTTTTCCATTACCAAAGAGAACTGTAGAACAAGATCGAATCAACATAGTGAAACTGAAGGATATTGAAACCAATGATTTTGATATCTATACTTGGATGGGATACTGTTATAACGTCTTAGACTTGAGACTCAGCGAAGATATTTGCACAGCTGAAATCATTGTTAATGATCTGGAGTTTTTCAAGTTATCACACATCACGAAAATCACTCCAGTTCATATAAAAAAAATAGTTATGATATTAGAGGTAAACAACTCACTTTTGTGGTTTTCGCTATGCATGAGTTTTTTTTTTACTTTTTTCAGTGTGCCAGCTAGTATTATAGTAAAATTTCAGATTTCAATGTCAAACATGCAGAAACTTTGAAATATCCCAAAGTTCATAAATATGAATATCATCATTACTTTCTGAAAATAATATTTCAAACAGGATACCTTGCACTACAAATACTATTATCAGAACAACTTTGATAGATGAAGTCAATATTTTTCCACCTCTGCAGACTTCTGAAATATCATCAATCTACAGACGTTTATTCGAACTTAAAGCTAGATAGAAGATAGGACCCTGACTAATTAGCCTCACAGATGGAGTCAAATACTTTTTGTTGTTTCATAATTACTGATACTGATACTGTTTTATTGATATATTTCGATATTCTCTACTCAACATAAGCATGTTATCCAAAAAAAGCAAAATGCATCAAGAGCAAAGTTTAACCTAGGAGTTCAGTGGATCAAATCATAACAAAATAGTTTGCAATCCAAACCCTAGGAAAATTGTTACGGCTCCTTTGTAGGTAGCCTTCCTGAAATTTGAAGGCTTCCAAATTATGATTCTGAGTCTGACCGGAATATGGCCTGATATAAGCAAAATATAAGCATGAATATATCTTTCAGTGGTCTTCACTCACAAAAGGTAACATTGAAGTTCTGGATGTATCCAAGTGGGGGTTGATACTATTTGATTTTTTGTGAAGACTTATATTTCATGATTTTGAAAACGGATAATTGACTGTAAAAGACGCCTGGAAAGATATGTTATTGTTTACTGCTGATAAGCTACCTTCAAAATTGCCATCCAATAATTTTTTTTTATATTAGCACAGTTGGTGAGTTCAAATACACAGGAAGCTGCATGGAATGTGTCGAACAAGATTGAGATTTGAGTCAATGGTGAAACGTTATTCTTCGAATTTTTGTGACTGCACTTATACCTGCAACAATTTTTTAATTGCTGGCATAACCAATGTACCAGATGAAATTTTTTCCATGAGCTACCCCAAATTGAAAACATGATCCCATAATCGGTTTGGAATTGACAAATATATAGAAATGCAGTTTTGCCTCACATGTTAAGAAATTTTGTATTTTCGCTTTATTCTGCTTACAGTTCACAACAAACAGATTGACAAACTGAGTGCATTACATGAGATGATCTACGTATAACTTGTTTGAATATGCTTTGAATACGCCACCAATTACAATCGAAATAGAATTGCAGTTCTTTACGCATTCACAATAAACATACGCAATTTGGTAACTTTTGCTTATATTTTGCATAAACCAAGCTGGATCGGCACATCGCTGGCAACGTTTCAACACAATTTGTCCATTGCTTTTCATAAAGTGGCAAAAATTCATGTAACTGCCAGCTATTTTTATTTTAGGAGCCCAGTATAAAACGACTTCAATGAGTCAGTTGATGGATGGAAAGTATTTTATATAAATGTGAAAGTTTGCCTAAACAAATGAACAGATTCAGATGAAACTTCACTCAAATACACCTTATACAGAATTACATATAGGCTACAATTCAAAACGGTTTTGTGTAATTTTGGTCATGAGTATTGAGTAAGTCGGAAAATTCTTGCTCCCTGAGAGCTATCTTGGCGTGCGCTGTCTATCCCGTTGGAGTTACATGGAGATGGTACACCATAAGATAATCTCAAATAGTTCCGAATAGAAGTTCGTGATAGTATATATCTATCTCTTATGTGGTAGCCAATAATTTTTCACACTTAAGTAATTTGGATGAATCATTATCACGATGGAATTAACGTAACGCAGTAAGTCATTACGCGTAAGTTTTACGCGTCTACTGTAAAACGACAGAAGACGATGCGCGGGGGTAGAGGGGTGGTCAAAGCAATGGAGCGCCATCGCCGAGAACGCGACCCAAACGCGGGCAGATGCGTTAGGGCAGACGCCGTTGATGGTTATGTTGGTTTTGCGAAATTTCTTTATAGATAATATGATTTGATTCTCGAAGCTATCCATTACTTAGTGCAGTTAGCATATACATATTTTGAGTAATTGTTTATTTGAAGTGAAAATATGTTCATGTAGAAGTATTTGTTCCGAAAGAATTTTTTTCTTTCGTGAAATTCAATGTTTATATGAAAGTAGCTGTTTCAGGAGGACTTTTTTTCAGTTTGTGTCTGAAAGTTACTTCTTTGCATGATCTACACATCCATGTATAGAGTTACTAATTTTCAAATTGATTACTTCCTTCCTTTCTTTGGAAGATTCTCTCATCCCTTTTTTTTGTATCAAATGGAGTAGTAGAAAGCCAAAAACTTTCCTTCCCAAAAAAATCAATCACTCCTAAAAATATAACCCCTTCAATTTAAAAATATGAATTACTAGCGTATTGAAAAAAACACATTTTGTTGTAACATTTTCACTAAACTGTTTGACAAAAACGCAACATGTGTTTCGCCTTACAATGGCTTTTCGGGCTTGTCTACACTAACTATATTCTACATATTCAATGCGCCAAGAATATGTAGAATGTAGCCGAAGATACTGAACCTAGAATCATGAAATATGCAGGTACGTTCTTTGTATAGCGTGAATAAGCATCAAGAAGGGGAATCAGGAATTGGGGTTTGAAGATTGACTCAAATTTTGTCAGTTCTGAAGTTGCAAACCTGAAGTTTTGGGTTGATAAAAAAATATTGTAACCACTTGTTCAAAACGGTCTGTCACGAAACTTAATTTGACAAATCGAATTCTACGTAGGCGACGCTGCGGGCAACAACTAGTACGTCAGTAAATATAATGCAAATGGGTTGACTGAAATATTCCAGAATATGCAAGTTAATAGTATCGATTTACCTGTAGATACCAAGAGCCTGCCCAAGAGCTGTGACGTGAAAAAATTAGTCAATCTAACGTTTGCATATTCTATGGGCTTCATACTTTCGATTGGTATGGAATTTGTCTAATAACCAAACCAGTGAAATGATTGAAAAAATGATTTTGAAATTGTTAGTTATTCATATTCTGGACTGAAATATTCCAATCAACCCCTATTCGTTATATTTATTGACATATTCAATTTGATATAAAATACTTTTCATCCATTAACCAGCTTGGTAAAGGTCTTTTTATACTGGTATCTGTAGTCTAGTTCACATGTACCATTTATGTGGTCTCCGGGAATTACGATTAACGTGTCACTTGATTCGTTTTGTCACGTAGAAAGTTTAAGGAGAAGTTCGAAAAGGTGCTGAAAAAAATTNGATCTTAAATTCCGGAGACTATGTGAAAATTTTCATATTTTCAAGAAAAAATGGTACATATGAACTAGACTATCTGAGACTATTTCAGTTGTGTGTTCAGCCGGGAGCTATTGCCGCAACATGAAATCATGTCATCATCTCCATTTTGCTTGATATATTCTTCCGCAGCCATAGAGAGTAATTTTATTTCCGTTAGCCAATGAAAATACTATTATATTTTCTCATTGACAGGTTTTCGACATTTATTCAATAATACTGCGATTATTATATGTTTCTAAAATGTATCCTGCGTCCTCATATAGACTTCATGTTGATCAGTTCTACTTACCAATACTTGTATTACCGTCATTTTTCAGAAAGTCTACAGTAATAGGATAAAGCAATTCCACTTCGTGAATTGTCCTCCGTTTGCGTATAATATATTGAATTCTGTTAAGTCACTCATGAAACCAAAACTGGCTGCTAGGGTAAGTATGAATTATACTAATGCCAAAAATTAAGTGCACTCTACCTATTTGAAAATATTCTAAAATATATACTCGTATTGAATATAAGAATCGGTCTCATACATGCTCAATTTAAAAACAATCGATTCTAGTTTCACATATACAGTCTGTTCAAAAAATTTGATGAATTTTAATGCTTCACGAAAAATATTAATTTATTTATTAATTTCTATCTTACCCTCTTCAAAGCAGTACTCATATATAATATACTTGTTCTAGCGTTTATTTCAATCCTCGACACAGTTCTTTTATGCACTTTTTGGCATGTCCTTGAGGCACCTCATCGACTCAGTTTTGATAACCCATTATGTCCCATTCTCAAACGTTTCTCATTGGGATTGCACGTTAAAACGTTAGGCCTCTGTTGAACTGCCATGTTTTTTAAATGGCATATTTTGAGGCACCCTATACACATTGAAGAATCAAACGTTGAAACGATAGAGCCCCGTTGAACTGCCATGTTTTTTCTTAAATAACGTATTTTGAGACATTCTATACCCAATGACGTCATGTTTTTTTTCTTAAATGACGTATTTTTGAGACACCCTGCAAACTCCGATAGTAGCCATGTTTTTTCTATTATGTTGGTTGCTATGTTATTTTCTTCAACGCTGGCAGCCATGTTTTTTTCTTCAATCCGAATTTTCATTCATTATTATTATTATACAATAATTTTTGTAAATTAGCCACGCCTTTATCTCCTAAATGAATCTACCCGATACTCATTTTATCGTTCTATGCATCGGTTACGTAGCACACTTCTCTTTCCCACTCACTAACGTTATTGCTTCTGTTAGTTGAAATTGTGGTGCCACAAAAGTTCCATATCTGATCTACTACGCCTTCCTTCCATGAGTCTCTTCAATCTTGAAAACAGAAAGAATTCGCAGGAGGCAAAATCTGGCGAATACCGTGGCTGGGGCATAATTACGGCGTTATTTTTGGCCATAACATTCGAATTAATGATAACGAGTGAGCAGGTGCATTATCTTGATGCAAACGTCATTCATTGTTTTTCCACAATATCGGACATGTGCTTCGTACTGCTTCTCGTAAGTGATGCATTACTCAACTATGATACTCCTTATCAACCGTAGAACCATATGGTGGAATCTCCTGATGCAAAACGCCACGGTAATCGAAGAAAACAGTGAGGAAAACCTTGATATTTGATCGAACTTGGGGTGTTTTGTTGGTCTTGGCTCTCCTAGACTCCTGGACAAAATTTCTAAAAAAATTGCGTGGCATGAGCTAACTGACATGCCGACATCCTCAGCAACTTCTCTAATAGTGATTCGATGATTCTCCGTAACGATGCTCTTCACTTCCTCAACATTTTCATAGGTAGTTGATGTGCTAGGGCGCCCACGACGAGCAACGTCATTCATATCTTCTCGACCTTCTATGAAAAGCTTGTACAACTTGTGAAAACAACGCACCCTGGCGTTGGATGCGATCGGGTGTGGTGGGGTGGATTTTCGGGAAATCATTGCGGGTACCGCCCCTCGCCCACACCAACAGGATTTCGCAGGGCTTCCTCCCGCTTCACCGAACCCGGAGTTGCCTCCTCACATCTACTTAGTGTGGCTAACCAAGAGACAGGATCATCGGCAGCGTTCGACCGAACGTTCGTACAAGTTAACTGAGCTCATCTTTTGCCAGAGAGTGCTCGCGCCAACCGCCAACCTGCCAAATCAATTGGGAATATTGTCCCGGAAGAGACAGGTCGGGATCCTAAGCTCGGATACTTGTTGCTCCGTCCATACGGGGTCCGACACCTCGAGCGTCTGCCTTGGTGCCCTTCAAGACTAGACTTGGATACTAGTGCCCGTTGGAAAGACCGCGAGCCCCGACACCTTGAACGCTTGGATCCATACAGAAGCAGGCGAGGATCACTGAACAGCATAAGCCGTCCAGTGCCTCAGTAAGGGGCTGCAATGCACCCATGGATGGATTACCGCAACCCTATCCCGTTACCCGCTAGTGGAGCCGCTGCCCCTAAGAGGCCAACGCCAGTTGGAAATGAGGCTCGCTAGCCTCCAGCCGGGAGCAGACTCTCATCTTCCTCCTAGAACTCATGTTAGGAAAGTTCCCTTTCCAACGTTTGATGACTAACCGTCGAGGACTCTTTCGAGCATCCTCTACCACACATGTTATGTCGAAGACGTCGCGCCCATTACCCGTGTAGGAGCGGGATAGGGCGGTTTGCCAACAACTTTTGGGTGTACGGCGTGTGGTCTGTACCGCATACCCTTACGTTACCCCGAAGGGCACTCATGTTAGGAAAGCTACCTTTTCAACGTTGGATGAGTAACAGTCGAGAGCTCTTGCAAGGCACCTCACCCACACATCTAGTTTGAAACCGGCCAACGCCTGTTGCCCGCAGGTGCGGGATTGGGTGGTTGAGCGAAAACTTTATTGGGTGAGTGCCGTGTGGTCTGCACCGGGGGCCTGTCAATCACCCATAAGAGAGCGATAGTGACTCCCTAGCCACTCACCCCCTGTCACTGTCAAAATTTCGAGTGTTTTTGAGCATCTGCTTCTATTTTGGACACAAAATTTAATGCAAATTTTATGATCCATTGATTTCGATAGCAGAAAATAGCCAAACACGCAGAACACTTTGGATTTTTATGCCTCTCACCAACAAATAGAACATGCTCAACAGCTGAAACTGTAAAAGTATGTTCGGAACAAATGTATCAACATAAAAAATTTAAAAAATCGTTACTCGAATTTACGTAGCCCGCGAAATTTGATCATTCACTTAATTTTTTGAACAGTACCTCCACGTGAACGTTTTCAGTGTTGAGATATGTTGCTTCATATTTCACTAAAAAATATCATAGTTGTCGATTTTGTTCCATTAAAGTAGGTACTCATATTTTAATTTTCAGATATTTTTCCACGAAGATTGTTCGAAAATTGGAGACATTATACCTCTAGAAGTATTACCTAAGGACTATGGAGGTTCAGAGTTGTCTCTCTATGATCTGAACGGTAGGCTTCATTCACGATATTCAAAAATTGAATGGTGTTATGATGAAAAAACATAGATAATTTTCATTAATTCAACTATTTTTAAATCCGTTTGGTATTTCTAATAATTTCTTGTCTTCTTGATGGTAAGAACAATCAGGTAATAATTGAATAGAACTGGCCGATACTTGGTGAAAATCCATATTAAAACTAAAACTATAGTGATTTTCACTATAAAGGGTTTTACAAAAACCGCGACACGTGTTTCGCTATACAGTAGCTTCCTCAAGCGTAAACAAGCGTGTATGTGTAAAATATATGATGGAATTTGCCGATACTTGATGAAAATTCATAACTAACGTGTTCAAAAAAAACTTTTTCGTTAGATTTTACAAAAACGCAACACTTGTTTTGACATACAATGGCTCAACTACTAACTATATTCTACATATTCAATGCTTATTATACCTTATTTTACAATTTGAAGTACCTACATTTCAAGTACCTGATCATTAACGAAACAATAAAGACAAAACTTTGGTGTCGAATAAATCAGGAGTATATAAGCTGACTTGTGCCTTCTGCCCAAAACTGTATATTGGCCAAACAGGGAGAACCCTTTTCAATAGAATCACAGATCATAGACGTTGTTATAAATAGAAAGACCAATACCATATTTGCAAACCAACTTTAAGCAGAACGATATGAGTTCTATCATGAATACAACGTGTTACATTCAGAAGAGAGGAGTTCGAAACTCAATCTTCTAGAATGTTAAGAAATCAATAGATCCGTGAATTCGAGTAATTTACTGAATGATTAATTAGAATTGAATAACTCCCCATTACTAAATATTTTTTCAAATGTGCAAACTGGAACATGAGCTCAGGTAATTTAATGAAGTAAGTAAGTAAGTAAATATTTATTCAGGTAAGCTTGATATACAATATGAATTCAATATTAAAATTAGATAACTTGAGAAACTAAAAAAAAAGGAAAGAACTAACTAAAACTAACTAAAACTGGAAATTGGGAGTCCAGGCTGAGCTACCTAAGCAATGCTTGTGTTGTAGTCATCAACCTGGATTACAGCGAGTATTCATATGTTGATTGGTGAGTAGAAAGAGAGAAAAAATCAAAGTTATATAAGTTATTCATTGTATTTTGTATTTCTTATAATTATTCGAGTTCGTATACGGTTTTCAGTTTGTCATAATTTTGGTTCACATATTCTTTCAGTTTTGATTTCATTTTTCGTTCATTAGGAATGACTGAAATGAATGATTTCTAAAGGGACTAAGTTCAACAATTTTGGACTAAAGTATGATATAAATTTCTGTGTATGCGTTAGCCTACAGAGAGAAACATTTGTTTTCTGCTCAGATTTAGGTATTACGTGTGTTGTAAATATAACTTATCTGAGAGATGGAGGTATTTTGCATCCATATTAAGCATTGATAGGTATAGAGTTTTCTTACATCAAATAAGCCAGTTTCTCTGTAAAGGTCTTCAGTAGAGTACCTTCTATTCTTCTCGAAAATTATTTTTAATATGGTATTTTGCATAACCTCTAGAACGTGTAATAATTTTTTACTGAGACCACCCCATACAATGATACAGTACCTCAATAAAGATTCAGCGAGTTAGTTGTAAATCGTAAGTAAGAGCTTTTTATTATTCACATATCTGATTACCTACAGTTTCTAAACGGTCCAGAAGAATTTGATGGTTGACTATATCAAAGGCTTTAGCCAGATCTAGAAATACTGGCAAACTTTATTTTTTGTCATTGAAATTTTTCCAAACACTGTTAACCAATTTAAAGATCGCATTTTCGGTTGACATGTGTTCTCTAAAACCAAATTGACCTTCAAATAAAATATTATTTTGTTCTAAAAAATCAAACAGCCTATTTTTCAAGCACTTTTCGAAAGTCTTGGCGAAGTTATTGATAATGGTTATTGGTCTGTAATTTGTTGCAAGTTTTCTGACACCTGATTTGAAAACTGGGGTTGTTATTGATTCTTTGGAAGAGGCTGGAATGTTTCCTTCCATAAAGCATAAATTATTGATATGACAGAGAAGACACAGAAGTAAATGATCCCTTTTTATAAACTGGACTGTTATGCTATCAGGACCTGAAGAGCTGTAGTTTTTTAATGTAGATATTATCTTAATGACTTCATTTTTTGTCACTGGGTTCAGAAAAAGGGACTTTGTGATAATGGATTCAATTTTCGGTATAATGTCATGTTTATCGATTTTATTTTCCATCTGTTTTCCTAAACTCGCAAAGAAAGTATTAAAGTAGTTGGATTTCTCCTTGTCAGTAACAATTTTTTGACCATTTTCATTTGTAATGTTATATTTATCTTTCTGTTTCGTACCTTTGTTCATCATATCGTTTAAATTTTGACAGATTTTTCGATAATTCTGTTGGGCCTCGTGAATCTTGTTTATATAGTGATTATTTTTATGCAATTTTACCAAATTATTGGGATAGTTTCTATAATTTTTATATTTTACATATAGTTCTTCGATATATAGTTCATTTAATATTTTTTTTAGGTTGTCCCTATAACTAACTGATGTTAACAGGTCTAAGTTCATCCAGGGTTTCAATTTGTTTTTGCTATGCATGATGGATATAGTTTGAGTGGATAAAAGATTATAATTTTTTATTTTATCAATGAACAAGTTGTAGGCCTGTGCTGGGTTATTCGAAATTAGAACGTCATCCCATTTCTCTTTTTCAAGAAATGTTTTCATTTTATTTTGATTTATAAACATTTTAGATGTTTCGACAGTGTTATTTGTGTTTGAATCGCATGTTGCTGACATAATGTTTATGGAAAGCATAATTGTGTAATGATCAGTCAAATTGGTTGTGTATATATACGTATTCAGTGAGAGTTCTTCAGATAGTTTTATGTCGATATGGTCGATCAAGGTAGAGCTGTCTTTTGTTACTCGGGTTGGCTTATTGATGTAAGAAAAATATCCCTGTTGGGCCATCAAACATACGTAGTTATTGGTGGTCCTCTCTGAACTATTCAATATGTTTATATTGATGTCGTCCATAAAAATGTTCACATCAACTCTTTTTTGAGCAGACAAAAAATATTCCATATCTTCTAAATACTGGATCAGGTTACTAGAAGGAGGGCGGTAGCAAGCTGTAATATTGAAAGATATATTGTTCCACGTGTATTCTATTTCTGAGAGTTTGATTTCGGTAAAATGTTTTATTGTGGTGATATAGTTGATAGTTCTTTTGACATATACGATAACTCCGTCATTTTGTTTGAAGGTGATTGACAATGTTTCATGATGAATTTCACTAGTTCGGACTTCCATTGTCTACTATATAAAATGATTTGTAATCCCTGAAACAACTAAAAATTATACAGTATATTCTCTAACGGAAGAAAAGGATTATCGAAATGATGAGTTGACACTGTTTGAGATACCAACGCAAAGACGCATCACAGAATTGATTTTCAATTTTCATAGGGAAAAAGAGCACTCAAAAAGTGATAATGCTACCGATTAAAAATCGGGCAATTTTCATAACAGACGATGATATTTTTCATTCGAGTATAGTGTCTTTTAACCTCATACATTATTTTACCAAATGAGGTGTACCTACACAAGGATTTCATTCCAGAGTACTATTATTAAATTTTTGAGAAATTATTTGGGTGAATAGAAGCATTTTGTTGTGGAATGAAATGTCATCTTCTCAGCTCTTTTCTTCTTCAACGTTTCTGAAATATTTTTGTTCATGTTACAGAGTTGTGGAAGAAGAAACTGGAACAGTACAGTGCTAGATTTAACAACCTTTCAAAGATGAAAACCAATGAAATTCTTAGACCATCACCTCTAGTCAATGACGAAGTGCTCGGATTCCATGGGAACTTCAGAAAACTGGAGATGGATTAACAAATACAGATCAATTCCATCATTTAGAAAAAAAAAATTCATTTTGAATATTACTCAATCAAGAAAATAAAAATTTCTAAACAAAATCTCCAAACATTCACCTCTCCCAACTACCTACACAGTAGGTTCTGCTGAATATCTGTCGGAAAACAACAACTGTCCACTGGTAATTTGACCTTGAAAAATCATAACCAATAACACCAATTTCGAATATTCTTGGTATTTCCTAATTGCGTTAATAAAATGTTTGATGATAACAAACGTGTTAGGAATCACACGTTAAAAGGTAAGACCTCGTTAGTCGTTAGCTCGCACAAGTTTCCCAACTTCTGAGAGTTGTCATTCGTATGGGAGTGGCAGCTGATTAACGAAAAAACAGATTTTAAACAGACAGAAAACAGATTTTTAAACAGACTTATTAACAGAGGTTCAGATAGTGTGGATATCGAAGGTGTCTCCTAACAGGTAGAACTTTCGTACAAAATAGAAGAAAGTATATATGTTTTGTGATTTGGATTATTCTCCATATCAAAGTGTACTAGTTTCCAAATTTTACGTATATAATTTATATGTATGTCGTTTAAAAAATAAATAATCAGGTAGATATTGCGAACTACATTCAATAAACATGATTTGCTGTCAATCATTTCGTTCAGCTTTATGACCAACGGGTCAATTAGTAGTAACATATTGATCAAGTAGTCATTAACTACATAGGTAGAACATTTTGTAGCAATCCAGTAAATTGAACCTGAATCAATTGTATAATGAAATTTTGGAGTGCAAACTGAATAGAAGAAAGTGGTTTTTGTTTAACTCAATGTTCATATGACAGTAGTTTCTTCGAGTGAATTTTTTGTTTCGTTCAATTCAATTTTGATATGGAAGTGGTTATTTCGAGAGAAGTTTTTCTTTCAATTTGTGTCTGAAAGAAACTCCTTCACATGCTTTACACATCTTCATTGAGAGCTAATTTTGAAATTAATTGCTTTTTTCTTTTTTTCTGTCGATTCCCATTTTTTTTATGAAGATGTAGCAATAGGAAGCCAGAATTTTTTTTTTCAAAAATTATTATTGTTATTGAGAAAACAAATATGATTTTTCAGAAGGTATTTCAAACATCATACCAGTTTCCTCTTCATAAAAATTCAGTTGATATCAATAAGCCCAGGTGAACTATATGTTGATGTCAACTGTTGATGTTTGAGAGAGTTAGGGTTCCGCCAACCGAAGAAAGTAAAGTCAACTCAACTGGAATCCTGGACTTCTCTGGCTTCGGTGGTTTCCACCGCTCTTTCACACGTAATGCAAAATGGACTGTATTCTGGGTATGGGAATGCACTTTTCCGGGTCACGTTTCTCGAGTTTTTCGAGATTGCGATACGACTTGGAGTTGCTATAGCCAGCTCGAGCTTCTCGGTGAGAACTGACATACCATCTGGCGGCTGGCCAGAAATTATGATACAGCGTGAGCAAAAAGTGAGGGACTAATATTCTGATAGAGAATCTCAAATATTTTTGTTGAATGACCGGGTAATGGTTATTGAGAATAAGTAACATAATATATAATAATTGAATGCTTAATCTAGAAGGGAAGAATAGTTATTTATGTATCAAGGGAATTAGGAGGGCCTTAATTACCGATGGCAAAGTTTGCGTCCCGAGGGCCTCTGGCCCGAGGGACAGCAATTGCCTGAGGTTATTAAGGCTCATTAATTCCCGTGGTACATAGATAATTTTATTTCTGACCGATTTCAATAAAAACGTGAGGGGTTCTCGAAGGAGATATCCATTTATGTCTCTGCTGCAGAGTATGCAGATACTCATTATGCCACCGTTTCCATATATCTTGATGAACTCTTTGCAGCAGTTGCCAGCGATCGAGGCGATTGATGTTAAAATTAGTCAAATCAGGATCAAGGAGGACGGTCATAGGTTCGAGGGATAAAAAATGACCTGGGGTCAAAACTCTCAAGTCGTTTGGATCATTACTCATAGCGTAAATGGGTCTAGAATCAAGCAGTGCTTCGATTTGCACCAATAAGGTATAACATTGCTCATAAGTGAGGATTTGATATTCGAGTGTTCTCATGAGGTGAGTTGACTTTACTCTCTTCGGCTGGCGGAACCCTAACTCTCTCAAACATCAACATTTTTTGGTTGAATCATATATCATACCAGTTTCCACTTCATAAAAATTTAGATGATATCAATAAGACCAGGTGAACTATATGTTGATGTCAACAAATAAAAAGAATGTAACTTTTTTATATCGTTTTGCTGAATATGAGTTATTCAGTCACGAAATTTGTATAATAAGGTTGTTTGGCATGGTGATATAACTTGAAATATCTGTAACCCATATTCCCTCCAGTTCCTTCAAAACTGATGGAGAAAAGTTTTTGAAGAGCAAAGAGCATGTTGAAGGGTTTTCATGGAATCAAAGCATTTTGGTTTTCTACTCATTATTGTTCGAAGATGGAGGCACACAATCCATAAGAAATTCTGGTGATCAAAACATGTTGAATGATTTTATTTATTTCATTTAGAAATACATTCCATAATTCAAATTCAGTTGATAAACTCGAATGTTCACTATTCAAAATGTTTCATTGAATAAGTATGTTAATGACAGGATATCTAGTCAATGGTGAGTTTTCTGAATGATCCTTCCATACTTAACTCTCCAATATGTTTGTCTGTCCAATCTTGGATAGTTGATTTGCAATTGAGCAGTTCTCTGAAAATCTTTTCCTGGCTCTCTATTTTCTCATACCATCTTTCTGTAACAATAGTGGAAATATTTTAAAACACAGTCGAAGATAATATCTGGTGTGAGAGGAATATATTGAGTGCGATGTTTGAAATCTCTCACTGATAATGAACATTTGCTCTTATCAATCTTGAATTTTTGAAAAATGTTTACAACTGGTACGAGTTTTCCACAAAATGTCTCAAAATATAAATGACGACGCTCGCCCTGGACGCCACAGCATCATCAGCCCCAGCACCAACGTGAAAAAATTCAAGCGACCTGGTTGTAAAGATCGTCACCGGTAAATTCGACTTAACGAGTCTGGATCTGTTTTCAATTATCCCGGTTTACACAAAAGTGTTTATAATAGTGATGTGGTGCACCATCTGCATTGAAGGTAGGCTTCATATTACACCTACAGTGCAGATATTCAAGATATCAGACACCAATTAACCCCAAAATTATTATTTATTGGTGTGCTGATAACAACTTCTATACGGGAAATCTTCAGTACAGGCCGGGTTTGTAATAAATGACTCTTTCTGATTTAAATATTCTTTTTTAAATCCATTTTAGCAGCTGCTGTCACCAGATGCAGGCAATTCCGAACAGGCTGTAGGGTTCGTGCCTATCGCACGAAGGCCGGTCTTTTTGAAATCTGTTCATTTGGTATACCTACTTATATTCTCTCTCATTCCAGAACTGAATTTTGATCTTAGTTAAAATTACTATGCTCTTCTCTAATTAGTTTTTGTTCTCTTAACTTCATCTTACTCAGTATTTTTCTCAGTTCAAGAGAAAATGAAAGTCCAATGTTTGATATATAAAGTGTAATAAGTAGAAAAACAACTCCATGTACAAATTGATAAAAACCAACGTGTAAAATCTTATATAAAAGGAAAATGTTAAGTCCTATAAAATTAAAGAAAATGGAACAAATAATATGCCGCCAATTTGACT